TTTAGTGGACTCACGTGATCCACCCCCTACACCCAAGTGGAGGTCGCGAAACGCGGTACGGAGTCGGAGGAATCGACGGAATCGGCGGGCGCGATTGTCAGCCGCGCGAAGCCTTGAACAACCGGTGCAGGACCGCGACACTTCTCTACCCTCTTCCTCCTCTCCTCCCCTGCTGCCCGAGCCTCCATCCCCTCTCTCCGAAACTCCGGAGATAATCGAGATCCCCCAATCCCCTCTCCCCGACAGACTTCCATCCCCTCTCTCCGAAACTCCGGAGATAATCGAGATCCCCCAATCCCCTCTCCCCGACAGACTTCCATCCCCTCTCCCCGACAGGCCTCCATCCCCTGCCTCCTCGATCTCCAGTATAGAGATCGTCGAGGAATTTGACCCCCCTCCTCGAACCCACGACCGGATTACTCCCGAGGAGTTTCTCACTTTAGTCCTGAAAATTTCTCCTTCCCCCCATCCTCCCCGAGGGACCTTCACCGTAGGGCCCGATTTCCTGGACATCCCTGGACTCCTCGCCAGGGTTAACTCCTATCCGCCTGGCCGAGTCATCCCGGTCTACCTTCCCGGGAAAAGGTATCCCAGGCCCGTCCCCATCTGGCTCTTCCGCCACCTTCTCCCTCCCTCCGTTATCATTACAGACCACCAATAAATCCATCACAAACAAACACACATACGTACACCATCACACCCGCGTAATTGTAAAATCCGATGATAAAAATGTAATATATTTTAGTCAATAATTCTATTCTTACTTTATTATCCTTTTTATTCTAATGTTTAATTATTTTATTTTCGAATGTAATGCCTAGAAGTAGAAAAATCGTAAATATATTATGTTAAACTTATCTTTTCCTATTTTAATTCATTTCTAAAGACCTCACCCCCTTCGTTTCTCCCCTTGAGAGTGCACAAGGTCCGTCCCAGGGTAATAGGGATTAATTTCTTTGACCCGAAATAGGACCTGCGATCGCACCGCTCCCGGAAAGAGTCATAGTGTCCTCACGGACATTGACCTTTTCGGAGCCTTAGAAAAGTGCGTTCGGCTCGCTTCCACGCACCTCCGAGCGTGTTAGCGAGAAAATAAAATTGCTAGTTGCGTCATTCCATACCTCCTCGTCTGGAAGCCCTATCCTTCGGCTCCCGTTAATCTCTATTTCCCATATCTCCACTTTCCAAGAGGTTTTGACGTAACACTTTCCTCAATACAAAACAATCCTTAAAGGCGACCCACGTAGATTCGCCTACAAAATCCGTCAACTACTTGGAGACGGATTCCCCATCGAACTTCCTAAAAATTTTCCTATCCTCCCTCCCTCCAACACCACATAAATCTCACACAATCGATCTCCGTCCCGGGTAAAGCGCTTAAATGCGTTGACCCAAAAAGGAGAACCTTAATAGGAAAAATTAAAGGAACCTCAACAAAAACGTAACAGTTTATAGAAATGTTTTCCGTTTCTTTGAATATGTGTTTTCAGTAACACTACCTGACATTTTGCAAAATGTTAGAAATATGTTTTCATATATATGGTTCTGTTTCTTTAAAAACATATGTATTTTTTGTAATACAGCGACTGATGTTCTGCAAAATAATTTTTTCTTATGTACTTTTAGGTTATAAAGGTACATATGTTTATATGAAGTATTAAGTATTATAAATACTTAATGTATATATAGATATTATATGTATGTATATTATATTACTTGGTCTGTCGCGGTCTGCAGTGCATCGTATTTTACGTACGAATGATTTGCATCCGTATCATTACAATTATAAAAATATATTTTAAAAAACTGTGATTATATGTAAAACTGGCTTTATTTTTCAGGATCAGCTGTATTGGACATTGCGACTCTACACAATTGACACAAGTTTTTTGATTCGCTTTATGGATGACTCGAAATGTCGCAGTACAGTGTACATGCAGGACCATTGAGACGTACAACCTGAATGTCTCTTACGAAAAACAGGTAAGCCTTGCTTCTTGTCATTTATATACTCATGCTGTGTTTAAATCTTTGTCAATTATATGTGATATAATGTGTATAATTGTAGTGTACAAAATTATTGTATATGAAATTATATTATATTATCAATATACTAGCTGCGTTCAGCATTGCAAATCTGAGGCGGTTGAGTAATCTTCTGTATTCGAGTCAGCGAGAGAGGAGAATGAGATAGAAAGAGAAGATGAGCACTCCGACGCTTCAGATTTGCAATGCCGAACGCAGCTAGTATATATATATATTGATAATATGATATAATTTCATATACAATAATTTTGTACACTACAATTATATTGTGTGTCTCGTTCTCGATGATAGTATTGTAGTCATGCCTGCCATGCCTAACATCACAACGTTTAGCGCGCCTTTGAAAGAAGGTGGCGCCCTCCACCATCCTTCCACCACACCTCCTGGGCCCTTTCCTTCATATTGTTTCGTTGTGCCGAAACATCGAGACGTTTTTCTTGCGCGTAACAAGTCAAATTAGAATCCAGCCGTTTTTAATCATCTAATTGGAAATGTCGAAGGAGAAAAAGAGGAGCCGTCCCAGATCGAGGTCGAGGAGTCGTCATAAGAAGAGCAGGAACGAGGAAAAACTCGAAAAATTGCAAGAAAGATTAGATAACCTTACAAAGGTGGTAGAGACACTAGTCGTCGTTCAAGGGGCACAGGCCCTACCCAACGCAGATTCACGGACCGAGGCGGTTGGTAAGTAAATCACAAAAGTGATTATACGCCTCGACATCTACCTTGGCTTTCCATACGAAAGGCGAGGGACAAGCCCATACGGTTTTGTCTGGTCAATAAGACCTTAAAGGGTGTTGGTTGAGTTCAATAAGAACAAAATTACCATAAAGGCACAATAAGTGCGACCCTAAAAATGTCCTTTCTTTTCTCTAGGAACTGAGGACAAGGAGAATCAGTCACCAAGTGTAGCTAAGACGCCAGATATTAATGAGGTTCAGGTGGTCAAAGAGGTTATAAACTCGGATCACACCCCAGAACAAGCAACAAATAATGAAGCCTTGAAAGTACTCGGAGCGGACCCCAGCGATTTAAAATTCAAAAAGATTAGTTTCCATCCGGAACTAAAAAACACATGGAAAAAAAAGGGGGAGTGTTAAAGAGTGTAAACACTCTCCGGGCCGACCGATAGTCACATAGTCAGTTTAACATTTACATTATTTGCCCTGGAAATAAATCAAATTCTCGTATTTTGGTAATAAAGGAACGCATGGGATAATAAATTACATGTCAACAACACTATGCTCTCATACATATAGTTGCAACTAAACATACGGTTGCCATCCTCAATAATAATAAGCGAACCTATTAGAATAACGAATATCCACGTCTAACATATGCGTAATTATACATGTATATACAACTGACGCATAATTAAAGACAGACGAAAGAAATAAAAAAGAAGTCAGGGGACCTCTTATTCTTTCCTCTTTCTTTAAATTAAACAGAGACATACACTCTGACATATTTTTATAAGTATACCAATAATATATTATATATATTGATAATATATTTACAATAATTTTGTACACTACAATTATAAAAATATATTTTAAAAGATTGAGTAGACAAGGAGCTGCTAAAGGAAGCTTATCATCAATTTTCTTTACTAATTTGACAACACGCAGTTTAATACACGTTATGCTTCAATTACCGAAGAATTGGATCGCGGTTACAGCTGAAAGTCATCCGGACAGGGTGTACTTCAAGACATCTTCTCCGTCCTCTGGAGCATCGGATTCATTCATATTACATGAAAAAAATGAAGATAAACAAGAGAGGAAGTCAAAGGAGACTCACAATGTTAAAGACCAAACGAGAACAATCTTAAAAAAGAATCTTGCGGAGGAACGAATGCTAAGGATGCGCAAAAATTTGGATGTTAATTGTTACGTCCTGTGGACTCCACGATTTCTCTCTTTCAAAAACCATAAGAAACATGTTTTTTCTTCCCTTGGAAACTACTATTTTAGAAATCAGCGGATATCGACTAGCCAACGCATGAGTCCCCTCCCCACAAAAATTCCATTGCCAGAGTTTCACTTTTCGAAACTTGAAACGTAGAGTGCTCTGATTGTTGCTGGTCGATAGCCGTTGAAATGATAAAAAGGGAAGAGATAACAGACAGGATGGGATCAGGCCCTTTCAGACGGCAGTTTCGAAATTCAGATTACGATCCGAGACACTAAAAGGGGATTAAAAAAAAAGATAAGATAACTTGACCCAAAAGTGAAACTCGGAATTTTTCGAAAGCCGCTGAGGGAAATGATGCCCATAAATAAATATCAAAGGGCGACAACGACTTAATGGTCGGGTTGCCAATAAGAAACACAACTCCTTGACACCTCCCAATAGTCCACCAATGAAAAACCAAAATCCAAAATCTCCTTCCACGTCCCATGACCAAGATCCACCCCCGAAAAATCGTATATAAACCCGGAGCCTGCTGGTTCAGTCGCTTTGGCAGCTCCCGACTCCTGCAGTACAGTTCTCTCCGCGATCCTCCGAGTTCTGGGTCAACATTATTTTTTATTATCAAATCCAAGTAGAATCTGTGCGCGGTTTCGCCATACGGTCTGCGAATCTGACCCACCCGCCTTCGCCGGAGAATCCACCAGCTCCTTTCAACGACCGCAATCAGTAGTAAGTCACACGTTTTCTTTTCTTTTCATTTTGTTTCGGCTCGACGACCTCCTTTCCCCCTATTAATTTTTATTTTTATTCTGAGGGACCTTCGCTAGTTTTAATTTTCTCGTCCATGCTCTTGCGAACTAACGCCAAATATCCATTCACCAAAAATTCGTTTGTGTCCGAGGATTCCGCTTTAGCGTGAATCCGACACGATTCGAAGAATTCCACTCTTCAAAAATTCGTTTTGTGTCCCAGGATTCCGCTTTAGCGTGAATCCGACACGATTCGAAGAATTCCATTCTTCAAAAATTCGTTTGTGTCCGAGGATTCCGCTTTAGCGTGAATCCGACACGATTCGAAGAATTCCATTCTTCAAAAATTCGTTTTGTGTCCGAGGATTCCGCTTTAGCGTGAATCCGACACGATTCGAAGATTTCCATCCTTCGAGAATTCGTGTTGTGCCCCTGGATTCCGCTTTTAGCGTGGATCCGATACGATTCGCTTTCTCTCCTAAACTCTCATCCCGAAATTACCCACTCATAGATTATTAACAACCAGAAACTCTAGCCAACCTCCCTAACTCGACTCATCATCAAAATGACGTGGAGGTGATTGACGTGGAAGAGGAGGTGGAGGTGATTGACGTGGAAGAGGAGGTAGAGGTGATTGACCTGGAAGAGGAGGCGGAGGAACAGATCGCCGATGAGGAGCAGATCGACGACGAGGAACGATGGATCCGCGGTCTCGAAAAAGAAGTGGAAAACCTGGATTGGGTGGATGAAATATTTCACCCAGCAGAGGATGACGAAGACAGCGGCTTCGAAAACGGTAAGAATGTTTTATTGTGATTTTTAAATCTCACGTATCTCAGAACATATTCTAAAGTGTGATTTTTTTTCTAGATATTCCATCCCCTCGAGCTCCTTCGCCGGAATATTAGAGGAATACTAGAACTATGTCGCCGGAATATTGAAGCGAAGAGTAATAAATGGAAGATGTTCCACTTCAAACAAGAATGGATATGTGGTTTCAGAGGAAAGTGTCAATATCAGAATTGTAAAATGTACTGCATACATTATCGTGATAATAAACATACGATTTCTGCTTAGACGAACCGACCAAAGCGTGTCGTTAACAAGCCACCTCGCTACCAGACGATCTCTTCAGAAGACGATTTGAACACTCATTCAAGAAATTCGGTGAAAAGAGTTTGTAATCCACCTACGGATGCGGAGATCAATGAGAACATTGGCGATTTACGAAGGATCATGGATGAGAATCTAAATACAGATAAGAATGATAACAATCATCTCTCCTCTCCCTGCGGCTCCCCCCTTCCTCCATGTCCTAAAGACCTCCAACCTTCTTCTTCTTCTCAAATTCCTTCTCCCCATCTTTCTCCGCCTGAACCCTCTCAGGCCGATACCTCCGAACCTCCCAACTCTCCACTTCCTTCCGAACCTGAAATCAGATTTCCGTCCCCCGCTTCCTCGTGCTCTAGCATCCAGATCATCGAGAAATTCCAATCAACCCCTCCTACTCGCCCACGGCTTAGCTTCGTTCAATTCTTCGAGCTAATCCGCGAGATCCCTCCCTACCCACATCCTCTTTCTCCAGGGACCTTTAAGTAGGCGCATAAGAATTACAAGTTCCGAAACGTAAAAATTCCGAATTTAAACGCGATATCCTATGCCCTCGCATTTATTTTGATTACTGTAGGTCCCAATCATATCGATTGCCAAGAAATCCTCAACAGAATATCTTCCAATTCCCCTGATCGCTGTATACCCGTCTATCTCCCCGGCCGCTCCCGAAAAGAGTCAAAGTGTCCTTTCGGGACATTGTCCTTTTTGGAGCCTTGAAACGTGCGTTCGGCTCGCTTCCACGCGCCTCCGAGCGTGCTAGCGAGACATTTAAAATTGCTAGTTACGTCATTCCATACCTCCACGTCTGGAAACCCTATCCATCGGATCCCGTCAATCTCTATTTTCCTTCCGAAACTTATTCCAAGGGGTTTTGACGTAACATAATTAAAATCAGACATATTATACAAATTTAAAATATTAAATTTAAAATATTAAATTTATAGAGAGGCGACGGCTGGATTACGAAAATGACGTGGAGGTAATTGACGTGGAAGAGGAGGTGGAGGTGATTGACGTGGAAGAGGAGGTGGAGGTGATTGACCTGGAAGAGGAGGCGGAGGAGCAGATCGCCGATGAGGAGCAGATCGACGAAGAACGATGGATCCGCGGTCTCGAAGAAGAAGTGGAAAACCTGGATTGGGTGGTTGAAATATTTCACCCAGCAGAGGATGACGAAGACAGCGGCTTCGAAAACGGTAAGAAAGTTTTATTGTGATTTTTAAATCTCACGTATCTCAGAACATACTCTAAAGTGTGATTTTTTTTCTAGATATTCCATCCCCTCGAGCTCCTTCGCCGGAATATTAGAGGAATACTAGAACTATGTCGCCGGAATATTGAAGCGAAGAGTAATAAATGGAAGATGTTCCACTTCAAACAAGAATGGATATGTGGTTTCAACACGATGGATGCCCAGCGCATTATTCACG